AAAAAAAAAAACAATTAGAAGAGAATTATGACGTTTTTAAAAGAAAAATCATTTTGAAAAAATCGATTTTCAATAGTTTTACATATAAAATATCAACAAGACGTTAGCTGAGAGTGGTATAAATTGTCAAATCGCTTTTATCCGGGAGATTCGGTTACCCGTACGAGGTTCGTTCTGTACCCAGAAGACTACCAGATTATCCGGGAGAGTTGACATGTATGATGTCCTTCCATGTAGCTTATCATTGTATTAAATATCGACCATTTTATCCATTTTAGGGGGCAACTGTGCCACCCAGCGACAGGGAGGTTGGTGGTGGAATGGTTGTGGCGGGGCGCACATGTTTGGTCCATTTAATATAGGTGAGTGAAGGAATGTGTATTGCGGCGGTTGAGATTCACGTTGAACATGTGCGATTGCGTTATTTATATAGTGATTGTGGTAGTTGAGATTCTAAACGGAGACTGATGGCTGCAATGTGCATTTTTTTAAAACTTTTGTGTTATTCGTATCCATTGCATCTACCCGTCTGATCCGTTTAAGAATGATGTGGCAGACAGCGTACCAGTTCATTTGTAGAATGAGGCAGATTGAATATCCTTAAATATGCTGAACAAGTAAATCTACATGATTAGGTGTCATGCTGTGGTGATATACTGTAGGCCCTACGTGTAGGATATGAGAATGGTGTTTTGATTTTTCTCCTAGCCTTTGTTTCATATTTTATTGATTAATTCAGAGGCAGTGTCAATATAAATAGTTCACTGCATTTACTAGATTTATTAAACGGATAACAAATCCTCATATGAAATTCAGAATTCTACATTAAATACAGTGTAAACAACACTTAGAAATACGGCGGTTATCGCAATCATTCTGAAATCTGAGCTCGCCATCGGACCACGTGGACCTTCATAGATGGCTCCCCTATCTTCTTTAAAGATATCTAAAGACATTATTACAAAAAAACATACTTTTTCAAATTAAAAAAACACATCTACTAACTTTAAATGTAAAAAGGGAATCTTTAACCATTGTGAAATTGTCTTTTACCCCGAAAAATCAGTTTAATGGCGCTTTTCCTGCCAAAAATAATGAAGAGTTGTTATCCATTCAAATGACAGCTGTCTATTATATTTTCAAATCCAACTCGTTTAACATTGCGTTTAATTCACTTTTAAGTATCTTTGATTTGCACGTTATTATCTTTGAAATATTTGCCTCCAGGTGTTGATGCCGTAGATGGAAACTTCTATTGGAGAGGTTTCTATGGCAACAATTACGTGGGACTGCAGGCCGGTACCATGAAAATAAGAAGAGATGTGTAATGACGTCACTTCCTGCCGATGAAATTAGTCGGCTCAAGACATTTACTTATGACTTGACATTCAAACATTCAAGGCAGTGTTCAAATGATTGATTTTGACTACTTGTGATCTTGTGTCCCCGTCCTGAAGCCGTTGATTTTGCAATTATATTATTTAAATCATGTTTTTATATAAACTTAAATGTCAATTTTACCCCAATTTCACCAAAATCCTCTCACTCCGAAGATGGTCTAAACATTCGAACTTTTACTATTACTTGGTCTACACCAGTTTAAGATTAAGCCATACCAGACCTACTCCACTGAAATGAAGTCCCTGTTGCTCTAAAACATTGGCTGATTTCATTAAATAACACTAGACCATTTCTGTTTTATCTTGGGTCAAAGTACCCGTAGACTAAGGCCCCATTCTCTTAGACTGCATTCCCACAGATTTAGATCGATCCATCTGATTCAAACTTCAGCGTTGTACTTGAAGAAGCTTTGTGTTGATTGCCCAGTGTTGTCAGTGTTATCTGTAATTTAACGATGAATAATATTACTGAAGTTGCTACCATCTCCTAACCCTTCTAGTAGGGGAGACCGGGGCTAGTTGGACCCCGGGG